GGGCAAATTCTTAGGCTACATGGTGAGCCGAAGGGGTATTGAGGCCAATCCCGAGAAAATCCAGGCCATCATCAACATGGAGCCCCCACGCAATGTGAAGGAAGTTCAACGATTGACGGGCCGCCTGGCAGCCCTCAACCGCTTCCTATCTAAATCGGCGGAAAAATCTCTACCCTTCTTCCAGATCATGAGGAAGACGACTGGCTTTCTATGGACTCCAGAATGCCAGGGGGCTTTCGACGAGCTCAAAAGATATCTATCTTCACCTCCTGTGCTCTCCAAACCCAAGGTAGGGGAGACCCTCTACCTTGGGGTTAGCCCGGCGGCCATCAGCTCTGTGCTCATCCGGGAGGAAGACGGCATCCAACATGCCATCTTCTATGTTAGCAAGACCCTAAGGGAGGCCGAACTCAGGTACTCCCCTGTGGAAAAAACGGTGTTAGCCATCGTTTGGACTGTCAAGAAGTTGGGCCACTACTTTCAGGCTCACCCGGTTCAGGTCCTCACCCATCAACCCCTCGGCGCCCTCATGAGGAGCCCCACCAGCTCCTCCCGCATGGTGAAATGGGCTATCTTCTTGAGCCAGTACAACATTGACATCCGTCCATGGCCTGCCATCAAGGGCCAAGCCCTAGCGGACTTTGTGACGGAATGTACCGCAAGAGCAGCCACGGACGGGGAGCCCTCGGCTACCTCGGACGACTGGTGGACCCTCTATACTGACGGCTCATCAGCGACCAAAGCATGCGGGGGAGGGGTAGTCCTCATTACTCCCGAGGGCTTCAGGGCCTACTATGCAATCCGCTTCTCCTTCAAAGTCTCCAACAATGAGGCCGAATATGAAGCCCTCCTATGTGGCCTTCGACTGGCTGCCAACATGAGGGCTCGGCAGATCCACATCAAATGCGACTCCAAGTTGGTCGTTGGCCAAATCTCCGAAGAATATGAGGCCAAGGAAGGAAGAATGAAACAGTAAAAGGAAGCGGCCAAGGAGTTGCTTAAGGTATTTGAGGCACACTCTCTCACTCAAATACCGAGGGCTCAGAACTCCGAGGTCGACATATTATCTAAACTCTCGGCAGACTCCCCCGAGCACATCTCCAAGATTGCCAAAATCGAGGAACTCAGCCTCTCAAGCATCCATGCAAGCCCCGTGATGAACATACAACAACGTCAGGAGGATTGGATTTAATATATCACCGCCTTCATCTCCACAGGGCAGCTACCCGAGAATGAGGCCCGCGCTAAACTTGCAAAGCTGAGGGCTCCCAGCTACACCATCGAAGATGGAAGGCTCTACAAACGATCTTACAATGGCACGCTACTTCGGTGCCTTCATCCAGATGAAGCCGAGGTGGCAATGGAGGAAGTGCACAGTGGCACTTGCTCAGCTCACCAGGGACCCTTCTCCATGTCCCGAAGGCTCATTCTCCAGGGCTACTTCTGGCCAACCATGGCCAGGGATTGTACTGACCTTGCCCGGAGGTACAACGCATGTCAACACTTCCAGAAAGCCCCCGGCAGGCCAGCGGTCAACTATGCCCCCATCAGCACATCTGTCCCATTTTCTCGATGGGGGATAGACCTTGTGGGCCCTCTGCCGAGGGGTACCTCCAACAACAGATACATCATTGTGGCCGTCGACTATTTTACCAAGTGGGTGGAGGCTGAACCCCTCGCCAGCATCACAGAGGCGAAGTGCCGTCACTTCGTCCTCAAGAACATCCTCACGAGGTTTGGCGTCCCCCAGCAGATCATCTCCGACAATGGAACACAATTTGAGGCAGCCCCCTTTTGTGCCCTTCTGGAGGCATGGGGAATCAAACACACCTTCTCCTCCGTTGCCTACCCTCAAGGCAACGGGCAGGTAGAGAACGCCAACCGGACCTTGCTCGAGGGCCTCAAAAAGAAGCTGGAGGCCGAGGGTGGTGGCTGGGTGGAAGAACTTCACAACATCCTCTGGGCCTATCGCACCACCCCTCGGCGAGCAACAGGTGAAACACCCTTCTCCCTCTGCTACGGTTTTGAAGCCAAAGCTCCCACGGAAGTCACCATTCCCACCCGAAGGGTGATCCAATATGACCCCGAGGTCAACGACAGCAACATGGCCCTCGACCTGCACCTCATTTCAGAACGTCGGGAGCAGGCCTTCATCCGGGCAGAAAACTACCGAAGGCAAGTTAAAAGCTACATTGACGCCAAAGTTCGAACCCGGGAATTTCAAGTGGGGGACTATGTCCTCCGGAGGAGGGAAGCCAGCCAACCAACCGAGGGAGGAAAAATGGCACCAAAATTCGAAGGCCCCTACATCATAGCAGCCATCATCAAACCCGGGACTTACAAACTCAAACGCCCCAACGGGAAAGAGGTCCCTAGGCACTGGAATGTACACCATTTAGTTAAATTTTATCAATAATGTAAGAGCGGCCAAGCCCTCATAACTAGTGAATGTACTATCCAATGGCCCAAGGCCTCCAATTTCGAAGAATGAAGATACATTCAAGACATCAAGCCCTCATACTGACTACAGGCCCCAGGCCTCACCACAAGGAGAACCCCCTCCGGTACCCAGTGCCGAGGGCGGACACCATCAACACTTACAACAAACAATAGAAACACCACGTGTTTTCAGTCAAGACCCCTCGGCACCCAGTGCCGAGGGTACTTCCCCACCTTCAACATCAAAAAAGAAAAGATTAGAACATCAAATGTTCCTACAGAAGACCCTTCGGCACCCAGTGCCGAGGGCACACCTCCCTCATCAAATATCGAAACGAAGAAAAAACACCAAGTGTTTCAAAGAAGACCCCTCGGCACCCAGTGCCAGGGATATGCTCTCCTAACAGCTTCTAAACATCTATTGGGAAACACCAAGTGTTTCATTTGAAGACCCTTTGGTACCAAGTACCGAGGGTAGACGCCTACATCAACTACAACAAGAGAACACCAAGTGTTCCTACAGAAGACCCCTCGGTACCAAGTACCGGGGGGCTACACATCGAAACTAACATCAAGTGTTGTTTCTAAAAGCCGTACCCCACGAGGACGCATATACTGAAGGCGCCACCATCGGTGCCGGCGGCACGTAGTGCCCCCGGCCATTTGCAACTAGTGTGCAAATGAAAACCCTTCCTTGAAACGCTTTCCGCGTCACTACCCCCAGGGTATGACAGGCATGAGAAATGCCCAGGATTCGACTTTCAAAACCGAAACGCTCCCCGCGCCACCACCCCAAGGGTGTGGCAGGCCACAGACTATGTCTAGCGCCGAGGGGACGACTTTCAAAAATGAGGCGCTTTCCGCACCATCCCCCAAGGGGAGGCAGGTTACGGACCACCATATCTTGTGCCCAGGAAACGTCCCTCGATCCCCTCGGCACTCGGAAGGTTAACCCGAGGGAGGAGAGCCATTGGTGTATTCTGATGGTCTCCTAATAGGCCCAGCCTTACCAAGAAACCAAGTTTCTTGATGCCTTCCCTTCACCACCAACCAAAAAAAAAAAGGGGGGGGGGGGGGTGAAGGGGAGTAGACTCAGCGAGAAATCAAAGAGTGCACTCCAACAAAATCACAACATGCCGAGGGCTCCCCACGGGAACACCTCCGGCAATTGAAGACTCCTATTTCCCGAAGGATACTACTCAAGGAAATATCATCAGGAAACGGCTAAGTCCACTACCTGGTCACCTCCGGTCACAAAGACACCGAAGGCTTCAACAACACAAAAGGACTGGACTGTCCAAGGTCCACTAAACGGTACTTCAAACAAACACCGAAGGCATCCGTTATGCACAAATACCGAGGGCCCTTTCCCCATGACAAGGATCAAATTCTACGACTTTTGAAGTGTATGCCGAGGGCACACACTCCTCATTGGCTTTCTTCACAACAACATGAGTCAACATCAATGTATGCTTAGAAAAAATTCTAAATCCTGAAGGAGCAGCCCCCGGGCACCCGAAGGCTACACAGGGAAGCAGCACTTGAAAAATTTCTAAGTCCCAAAGATTGGGCCCCCGGCCCAATCAATATTACAGCCAAGGGAATATGGTGGCCGAAGGCCATGCAATACAACAACACTTAAAAAAAAGGGTGTTCCGTCCTGAATGAGTAGCCCCCGGGGCATCTCGCAAAGTGATGTGGAATCAGAGGGCACCTATCACCCGAAGGCACCCAAGGGAAATTTACACTTAGAAGATTTTCTAAGTCCTACATGTTTTCCCCCCCGGCCAACTACTCATACATCAAGGAGGGACGCCATCTCCCGAAGGCTCCCAAGGGAAAATCCACACTTAGAATATTTTCTAAGTTCTACATGTTTTTCCCGGTCACCTACTCATACACCAAGGAGGGATGCCATCTCCCGAAGACTCCCAAGGGAGATTTACACTTAAGATATTCTCTAAGTCCTACATATTTCCCCCCCGGACAGCTACTCACACATCATGAAGGGATGCCAACTCCCGAAGGCTCCCAAGGGAAACTCTACACTTAGAAGATTTTCTAAGTCCTACATATTTCACCCTCATCTCAAGGGACCTAATTTCCGAAGGCTACCTATCAATCGAGAGCTACGGTACACAAGGAATCAACACTCAAGAAAATTTCCTAAGTCCTAAAGAATTGGCCCCCGGCCTATTCAATATTTCAATTGGGGCTCCACAGTAGCCGAAGGCTACATGACATACTACACTTGCAAAAAATCTCTAAGTCCTGATTCCTACTGAACTCTCGGTCCAACATTCTCACATCAGGAAGGGAGGCCATATCCCGAAGGCTCTCAAGGGGAAATCTACAATTAGAAATCTACACTTAGAAATCTACACTTAGAAATATTTTCTAAGTCCTAATTGCTGCTGAACCCTCGGTTGCATATCCAGCGGAGGGTGCCCAACTACCGAAGGCTCCCAAGGGCTAGCTACAATCAGATGGTATTCTAAGTCCTAAGACATACATTCAAAGGAACAAGACATACATTCAAAACAAAGACGAAGGCATACATTCAACAATGAACAGATCAGAAGGAAGCATATCACATACACCAAGCCCGAAGGCAATCATTCAATTACAACACAAAAATAGTCAATGTGATCATTACAGAGTGTGGCCAAAGCCGAGGGGCAACAAAAGTTTCATTACAAGGCTTTTTTAAAAAAAATTGACTAAGTAATAATCTTCTCGGCAGCTTCAGCCTCGTTGTCACCGGGGGCATCTTCCACGACAGCCTTGGAGGAGACTTCTTCTCCGGCAGCATCACCCCCGACGGCTCCAACCCCGTCACCCCCCATCATCACAGAATCATAGATTGTTGGCCGCTCTTCACCCGGGGGGAGGGGAACTCTGACATCTGGTTGCAACGGAGGGAGGCCGTATACCGAGGGGTCAAATTGTTCGAGGGATACACCGAAGTGCCTGGCGAGCCTCCGGTATATCAGGTGCTGGGTAAAAAACTCACCCCCCTGATAGTAGGCGTCGCCCCTATCAGTCAGCCAGTCAACCCCGGGGCCTTCTACCCAAGCGTCCACCGAGGCTGCCACCACGGAGGCAACCCACTCCTTATGGCCCTCGGCCCTCCAGCCCTCAGCAAGGAACTCCGCAACTTCCTCCCCTCGGGCCTCGGCCGCAGCTCTCTCCTTAGCAGTTTGGGCTTCATCAGCGGCTTTCTTCGTCGCCTCGGCAGCAGCCCTCTCGGCCTCTGCCTTGCCTTCGGCTATACCATCAGCCTTGGCCTTCTCCGCCGCCGCCTTCACCTCCCGAAGGGCCTCCTCCAGCTGGGCAGCATGCTTCACCGCCTCGGAGTTCTTACGGATCAGCCCCTCCACCTTCTTATCCTGGGCGGCCTCGTGAAGACGCCTTTCCTCGCGCCTCCGGGCCTGTTCCCCGAGGGCTATGCAGGCCTGTGAACAATTATCAAAGGAGTTAGATTGTTCCTCAGGAAAAAATAAGACTACACTGACAAGATAAGGAAAAAGGAAGCGGATACTTACAGTGAGCGAGGAGCGGAGGATCCTGTTCTCGAGGGCATCGTCATCGTAGGTCTCGAAGACTTCCCTGTCCATCTTCGAGGTGATGCCCCGCAGGAAGGCCTTCGGCTCGGCAATGCCGTGCATCAACGAAGCGCCGGGGGCAAAGGAGAGCTGACGGATCTCCCGGGGTAATTCCTCCCGGGGGGGATTCACCGGATCCTTCGGAGAGACCGAGGCTAGAGGCCCATCAACAGCGGGCATGTCATCAATAATTACGAGGGGGGCCGCCCCCCCGACAGCACCCACGACGCCTTTCTGTTTCTTGGTGGGGGGCTCCACCCCCTTGTCGCCCCTCTTCTTCTTGGCGGCCGCCTCGGCCTTCGACCCCCCGGTCCCCACAGCAGCATGGGAGTCCCCGGCGGAAGGTTCTATGACCTTCGGGAAAAGCGCGTCGACTGGCTTCTGGCCCGAGGGCCCCTTCTCCTTGGACTGGGTCTTGCCCTTCCTCTTTGCGAACAGAGCGTTGGCATTCATCCTGCTACCTGCAAAGAAACAACAAGTTAAAATGTTAGCACCGAGGGGTTCGAGACACGACAACAAACATGACAGAAAATTTCAAAGTACAAAAATGTAAAGCCCCCGGCCACTACCTCCTGCCCCCACGAAGGCTTTATCATAGAGGGGATACTTCTCCTCGGTCTCCCCAATGAACCGATACCTCAGGAATCCGAGGGCATACAGGTCTTTCTCGAGGGTGCACTCCTTGATGGTTATGTTCTTATCCCGCCCCTCCGGAATCTCGGCAATCTTCAGGCCATCCTTCTCGAGGGCGGCGCTCTTGACCTTCACATGACGCCGGAAGCAATTCCGCAACTCCCTCGGGAAAGGGCTGTCGGCCAGTCTGATGTAGCACCATCGCTCTCTCCACCCCTTGTTGGAAGAAGGGGCCTCGGTGAACAATTTGAACTGGGCTATCTGCTGTAAGTTCGCATAGCCCTCGGCATTGGTATGCCCCCCCCCCGGCATAGGTTGAAGCTTTGGAAGAATAGCTCCAAGCTCGGTGTAACCCCCCGGAGTTTGCACAGGTTCACGAACCCAGTTATGTACGAGTGGCTATTGGGGGTCAGTTGGCAGGGAACCAGGCCGGTGTACCTCAAGTACTCCCGGAGGAACGGATGGAGAGGGAACCGGAGGCCCATCGAGACCGAGAGCACGTGCACGGCTATACATCCCTCGGGGGGCCGCGACAGCACGTCATCAGGACCCGGCTCGACTACTACGGCCGAGGGCCCTACGTGCAACTGGGTGATGTAGATATCCGCCCTGTCAGCTTGGGACTTTATCTCCAGAGCGGCGTTGTCCAGGAAGGAGTAACCCTCCGGCAGATCTACTGGCCCCCCTTGATCGACGGCCCTTACTTTCTTCTGGGGGCCAGCCTTCGTCTTCCTCTTCTTCTTCCCGGGGGCCACCCGGATGGGAACTGCATTCAGCGGCTGGGAGGTACTGGCCTCACCAGCACCCCGAGGGGGAAGGACGGCCACAGTGACCTTCGCCCTCTCCTTTTCTTCTTCCTCCTCGGCAACCTGGACGGCGAGGGCTAACTCCTCATCTTCCGCGGTCCGCTCGAATTCCTCCGCCTCGGCCTCGGCCGTCAGATCCTTCTGCACCTCAGTGGCGAGGGCTACGTCACCACCATCCGAGGGCTGACTGCTGCTGGACTCCACGTCGGAGATGCCTTCGTCCTCCATCGAGGGCGTCCTCGAGATGTCCTGAGAGTCACTCTGGGACGACATTCTACACTCTAGCTCGAGGGTTCGGGGGAACTAAGGTTCCTAGTGAATTCTATCTCCTAAACTAAGGGCACAGTACAGCTATGTTAGAAGGAGAAAGGCAGGGAGCACTGACCTCGAAAGCTGAGTTTTGACCGAAGGCTGAACTTTCTCTCTCTAGAAAAATTGACAGAGCTTCGCTAACAAGTTTATCGCACACGGAGGAATGCCTGGCCTTGGGGTATTTATAGGCGATGAATCCGGGCTTGGGCCTGGATTCCGGGCCTCCGGATGGACGCCATCATTACACACCGCCGTTTCACCCAACCGGTGACGCCGCCCACGGACAACCAGCCTTCACACGCCACGTGTGCCACCCCCCCAACGGCTATATCCTGTCGTTACATATTCCAACGGCTATATTTTCAACGGATATATTTTGGGAACCCCCGGGTTTTCTACTTCACTCCACTTCATCAAGGATAGCCTCCGGGTGCACTCACCCAGAAGTACCCCCGGGTTGTGCCCCACAGCGCACATTACACACGCCTTCGGGATCACTCCTTCAGATCCCTAGGGCTGCATATCAGGGTACCCCTCGGGTATTCCCCTCAGCACCGCAAAACCGGGTAGCCCCCGGGGACTGCCTCATTAACGGATGGCCCATGGCCCTCGGGTATCTTAATCACCACTCCATCAACATACAGTGGACCCCCCGGTAACAGCTTCACTGTTGCCCTCATCTGGCAGGCCCTTGATCCCTGGATTGAGGGGCTCCCCTTCGGCGCCACCAGGACATCAACAGCCAGCCTTCGGCTAATCAACACAGGAGCCCTCAGAAGAGAGAGCCTTCGGGATTCCCGTCATTCTCCATTTTTTACCAAGGTTGGACATTTTCGATTCATCATTGGGGGAATTCGGTGCACTCTTTTTCCCTCATTAGGATTTTTTCCCAAAGGGTTTTTCCTAATGAGGTTTTTAACGAGGCATCCCCCCAAAATGAAATGAAAAGCGTCAGCCTTCGGCCCACAACAGCAACGTAACTACTTTACTCCTTTTCACCACTTTACAAGTGCCTCAAGGAGTGGGGGACTGGAGGACCCCTTCGGGAAAATCATTAAATTACAAAATATGTGAAATTCCAACAAACAACAAAGCAAGCCCTCAAGTCCCGACATGTGGGTAACTGAGGGACCGCCTTCGGCAGGGACATAAAAGCAACAACTCCTCACCAACTTCAGAGATCACAACGGGACAACATCAAAGGGCAAGCACAAATTACTCCTTTTCCCTCAAGTACCTTTCGGCAAAAGGAGTGAGGGACTCCTGATGGAGTATATGGCCCGGGAACCCCCGGCCCACAGACTCCTACTACTCCAGCAAAGGCCCAACAGGCCCAATTCACAGCGCCCGGAGTACCAAGCAGTCTGCACAACGCACAGGGGTGCCTTCGGCCCCCTGGCCGAAGGCTCCAAATTCTCACAGAACGGGTTTCTCAAGCAAACTAAGAAACTGGGGGAAAAACGGCAGAAAACAGCAGCCCTCGGCACTGTGAGCCCTCGGCACCAGGGGTGCCATCGGGAGGAAGAGCCCTCGGCTACTGCTCTATAGCCGAAGGCATCTCACTCGACAAGATATCCGCCTCACATGCGTACAGATCACCGTACTCTGCACAGACGTCCCATCCAACAGCCGCATTAAATGCGGCCACATGCGGCTGCCAGCGCCAACCAGTTGAGGTGACCCCTCGGCCAATGAGCGCTTGACACGTGTCCCTGCCCGGCATTTATTGCTGCTATAAATAGCACCCCTTTTCCTCATTTGTAACCACGCTGAAAAGTGATAACGCACTGAATACACTCTCTCTCTACTTTTATTTACTTGCTCTGACTTCTCTCTAAGTTATTCCCCGTAATAACCCTTCGGATATAAACCCCCGGGTAGACCATCCATCATATTTTAAATATAATTTTTTCATAAATTAGCAGAATCAACCAATACAGCCACTTCCAGCCGATTTTAATGTTACCAAACGGGTTCTAAAAAATTACTTAAAAGAGAGTAAAAATGTTAGTGGACAGGGGCGAGGCCAGACTTTAGTACGGGGGGGATATAATATAGGTATAAAATGTAAAGGGAAATCTGTAATTTTGGTCCCGAAAATTGACTATATGCCCATTTTTAGTCACCGTAATTGTTTGTAGATTTGGTCATGTAACTAATAGTTTTTTGCAATGTAAGTACTTTCCCACCAAAGATACACTTTCTGACAGATAATTCCTCTGAAAATATGTCGTCTATGACATTTTTTTTGCAATAAAGTGTACTTTCAGGTGGAAAAATTCCTTAAACTGAAAGATTTATTAGTTACAGGATTAAAATTGCAAATCTCACAAATATAAAATTTGTAAATATAATTATAAAAGAGACTTATGGCTTGCCTAATTGCCTTCATATTTTTTTTGGGGGGGGGGGGGGGCATGGACCCCTTTACCTCCTACATGGCTCCGCCCTATTAGTGGAACAACCAAACAAGAAAAGTTTGCAAAGTGAATGGTCGGAGGGGGTATGTTATACTCTCTCCGGTCCTAAATAAAGTTCAGTGTTTGACTTCACACAAATTAAGGAAATAAATTTGACTTTACCGTAGAGTACACTGTTGTGACACTGTTTGGCACTGTTTGACATTATTTTGCACTGTTTTGATGTAGATAATTTGCCAAATAAGGAAGGGAGAAGAAGTGTGAACTTTATTTTAGACCGGCCCAAAAAGGAAAGTGTGAACTTTATTTAGGACCGGAGGGAGTAAAAAGTAAGGGTTTAAGAGTATGTTATACTCCGTATTAGAAACTTACCAAAAGTAGACCTATGAACTTTATTTTGGATCTACCCAAAAATAAAGGAAAATGTAAAAATTATTTAGTTCGGATGTACGCAATTGTAATCTTTTGAGAATAATGACTTACTCTTTAGGAAACCCTAGTATGTATATTCATAATAACTGAAGTATATGAGATTACAAAGTAGTCCTCTCTAACTTATGCAATATTTCACCTCTGTCAATCTGTGTGCAGGGAAAATAACACATAGATTGGATCTCAAAAATTCAAAACGCCGACTAGATAAAATTTTTGAAAAAATATCAGCTAACTCAAACTAAGTAGGAACATGTTTAACAACATGAACTCCGTGAGCAACTCTTTCTCGAACAAAGAATAAACAATCTTGATATGTTTGATGCGGTCATGGTGAATGAGATTTAGTGCCAAGTATGACGTCGAGACATTATCACAGTGCAATTGAATAGGACGAGAAATGAAAATGCCCATGTCAGCAAACAACACACGAATGAAGATGGTATCTTGGATTGTATAAGCAATCGCACGGTGTTCCGCTTCAGTAGATGATTTGGAAACTGTGGGTTGCTTTTTAGATAACCATGAAATTAGATTGTTATCGAGAAAAATAGCATAGCCAGAAGTGAAATGACAAATGTCTGGACAACCAGCACAATCAGCATCAGAATAAGCCACACAATAAGGAAGATATGGCGATTGGATTGGAGCCATGATTCATGAGTAGACATATCTGAATATGTTTGATAGCTACTAGCATTTGAGCGCGCAAGGTGGGATAGCTCGTGCCCAACAAAAGTTTCTCATTTCATTTGAAAATCATATAGAGTTCGTTTGGTAATACCCAAAATTGGCTGTATTGGCTGATTCTGGTGAATTTATGAAATTCTGACTGAAGTTGATGCATTGACTGATTCGGCTTATTTATGAAAAAATTATACTCAAAATATATTTTGATGGATAGTGTACCCGGGGGGTAGCTTATCCGAGGGGTTATTGCGGAGAATAACCAGAGAGAAGTCAGAGCAGACAAGTAAGAGAGAGAGTGTATATTCGATATGTATTAAGCGTGGTTTACAATGGGGGAAAGGGGTGCTATTTATAGTAGTAATAAATGCTAGATAAGGACACGTGTCAGTTTTCTGGTGGTCGAGGGGTCACCTCGACCGAGGTGGCACTGGCACTCGCATGTGGCCGCATTAAATGTGGTGGTTGGATGTGACGTTTGTACTTGGTACGGTGATCTAGGCGCATGTGAAGAGGATATTCTGTCGAGGTGGATGCCTTCGGCTGAAGGGTGCTGGGCCGAAGCCTCTTCTAACCGAGGGCTCCTACCTGCCGAGGGCTGCAGGTGCCGAAGGCT